ATTTAGTTTATCTAATATCAAGGAACAAAGAAAACTGTATTACTAACTGCGTTTATAAAATATCAAGCTAAAAAAATGAGAATTACCATCATTTAGTTTATCTAATATCAAGGAACAAAGAAACAACTGAACAAAAAAATGATGTCAAAAAGAAACTTGATGAAAAAAATATACAAATCTCCAGATTGTAATTCTTTCACTGAACACTGTATACATGTAACTGAATTACAATGATAAGAGATAGACATTGTAGAACCTTATTTCTAAATGTGGAAAAAATTATAATGCAATAGTAAAACTAATGTCTAAAAAATCTAATAACAAAAAAATAATAAAATAAAACTAATTTATTGTTAGTTGCAAAGACAAGAAGAAAGAAACCAGCTTCCTTTTTATTTACTCCAGCAACAAATGAAAAGCCTAAATGTCAGTATTGTTTGAGTGCACTTTTATTGTATTTCAGGTCCTTTTACCACGTTCACAGACACAGTTCATGCTGGTTTAACACTAAGTTATCTATTCAAGATAATGAACATCCTGTTTCCTACCTGAAGGACAGACGAAACTTGCTCCGACATGAGATCAAATAGTTTGATATCAGATGGAATACCACCATCACTTCTGTTTGCAAACAAAGCCAGTCTGTCAATCAAACTGATAATGATGTTCTTGATATTGACATGAGGGTGAAGCTCGGCACAGCTTGACAAGAAGGTTGTTAAAGTTTGCAGATGGTATTCATCAGGGAAAACCTTGACAAGAGAAAAACAAAAACTGTCAACAATGATTTGACAATTCAATAGTCTCTTTCACGGTTACCTGCGCCATGTTGAAAGGTAACCGTGCCTTGACATCAAAGCAAGACAACCGTTGAGCGGGCAATGATAGAAACTTGTGAATAATTGTCTGTAGGTGTGAAAGAAGGTTTCTATCATTGCACGCTCAATGGTCGTCTCGCTTTGAAGCAAAGGCATGGCTACCTTTCAAGATGGAGCAGGTAACCGTGAAGGAGACTATTGCTCTCTTGAACACTATGATGCAAGTCATCAACGTCATCATCATCAATCATCACCATTATCATCATCAATCATCATTATTTGAACTATTTACCTATGTACATTGTAATTCTGCATTAGTACTACAAAATACAATAAGTACCTGGATGATGCACTCCATAAGATATTCCTGTGCGATTGCATCTTTACAAT